GCTTCAACACTGGTCATAGGCCTACAACTTAATCAACTTATCAATCACAACATATAAACAACAACATATTCAATAACAACAATGTATTCGACAATCACAATAACACAACATCTCAACATTAGCCATAGGCCTACAACTTTACATTGTCAATAAATGGAGGCAACATAACAACAACAACAACAAAATTAACAACAACATAACCACAACTATTCAACTTTGGCGACAAGCCCACAATTTGATTCTTGCCAATAGTTAGAGGTAATGCAACAAAATTCACCACCTGCAACTTCATAATTAACCACAACAATTATTTCGTATAATTATTCGGACAAATAAACCAAATCCTATTAATTCTCCACTGTTATTTTATTACTAATAACCTTCTATTACTAATTCACATCTTAGTCCCTACCTTACAACAACTTATACAATCCGCCGTCTCAACCGTAATATTTTACAAACATTCCGCGTAATTATTTGGACAATTCAACTATATCCGGCTAAATAATCATCTACTAAAATTTCTAGTAATTCTACTATGTACTGTTACTAAATTTCCATACTATTAACATATATTAATTACTATGTCTTTGCTATATGTAATATTACTTCTCTACTAATTTAGTAAATCTACTGTTCTTATTACTACTAAATTTCTACACTGTTAACATCTAACCATTCACTAAGTATTTCTGCAACTAAAACCATCACTGCTATTTTATTTATCTTTACTGTTGAGGTCCTTCTACTAATTTTCTGCTAAGGTTATTTTACATACAACATTGCTACTAATAAATATAATTATGTTCCTGTTAAAAATTATCCACTGCTACTTGAACACTAATTTTGCTAAAGTAATTGAACAAGAAATGTTGCTATCCTTTTTCTTTTACTCTAGTACATCACTTAAATTCCAGGTATGGTTGGCACCAAGGCATCATGCCCCTCGGCACACATTTCCCCTTTTTCTTCTAGGGTGTCGATCGACACCCCTTCCTTTCCACATGGCCGTTCGGCATAATGCCTTACCGGTCGTCACCACTCTTCTTCACAACTCATGATGTTCGGCATGTGTGGCATGCCACTCAGCACACACACTTGTGACACTCGTCACCGTGTGTTTGTTTCATTTGTTTTCTTTCTAATTTCCTTCAATACAATATCAAATCCAACAACACAACACAATATCTTAGTAACATAAAATTATACCCATAGTAATTTTCTACAACCAATTTATTGACAACAACCACATCTTAATATCAATTACAATAATTAAACGCAAACAAAGGCAATTTTGCAAACCCAGTCCCACATAGAATTTGTCATACAACCTATTAGATAGTCAGAACTTCACCCTTACCTTAGATTGACGGTTCTCTATAATTTCCGGTTGCACATTGCTGCTGCCATAGCTCCAAACCTTTCTTCTTCTTCTTCTTCTCCACTCAAAACCCTATTCCTCTTTCTCTTCTCTTTCTTTATTTTTCCTGATAACACTAACTCTCTTCCTCTCTTATTTTCTAATAATAATATATTATTATTCTATTAATCCAAATAAATCCAATTGGGCCTAAACGCTACACCCCGCTTTTACTTCTTGACGCCATAACATAAGCCCATTATCATATTTAAGCTTAATAATAAAAATAATACCTCAACTTAATTCCACCAAATTAAATCCGATTATTTATCTTGCCACTAAATAAAATAATTCCGACTTCGACGATAAAAAATTCGAATTAATATAAAATATTCAAAAATATTTAATTAAATAAATAATTAAATATCGGGACGTTACATTCTTGGCCATGAGAAAACTCTAGATTTCATCTATAAAGGCACACACACACACATAATTTATAAAATATCTCGTACCTCATAAAAAAAATACTAGTTTGGGTGTCAGAGTACTTGTAAGTACCAACCCTTTTCAAGGCACTGGATTGTAAAGGAAGCTCATCATATCTCATTAGAAACCACATGAACCCGACCATTTTTGCACTCTTGCGAATGTTTCCTTTATGGAAAGATCATTGGCATCATATGTGGGAACGTTCTTCAATGTTGAAACACTTTCTCTCAAACGTCATAATGGTGAAATGCAGGAGAAAAACAACGCAAAAATCTAACTGTCCCCATGATCCATTGCTAACGAGATTGTGAGTCTAAGTTACAACCTTCAAAAGGGACTCATTACTTCATATTCATATAGAGAGGATCTGATCTAAACCCCATTGAAGGAGAAGACGTGCCTTGAAAAGGGACTCAATATTTGGCCCTTAGGACCATCCCTTTTCCCCAATATATAATGAGTTTCATCTATCCCTAGTCAAATAAACTTTGTTACCACTCCTACCTCCACAAAAAGGAGAATATGTGCTCAAACTCACCACTCTAGTGATACAAGCGACAAAAGTTGAGACTGATGCCCAATTGAGGGGTTTTCTTATGGAGGTCTAGAGGCACTAATCGATGTTATAACATCAAAACAAGCAACATCGTGGGATCAAAAGTACCGACCCACAGACATTTCTTGTTATATAGTTTCTACAATGACATAGTAATGAATCACACCAAAGAGCATGCATAATCCTCCTAACACCGCCAACCTGAGGTCACTATAGGCACATAACTCATTATCTGGCCTAGCTAAGGCACTCCTCATTAAGATTAAAATTTGAGGGACACCGGCTGAGATATCATTATTACCATCTTCGACAGACATCATGTTCATAATCTTCTAGCATTTTCGTTAGATACAAAGACATCTCCTTCATAAAATTTTTCACTAAGACAATCAAGGAGTACCCTATAAGCAGGGAACTCCAAAAACAATTTGGAATGGGAACCTATAATGGGATGACCGACCCTGACGAGCACATGGACCTTTTTGAGATCCTCTTAAACTTAAGTGGAGCCAAATTCCAAAAGAAGTGAATACTATTTGTTCTCACCTTGAATGCATGGGTCATGGCTTTGCTTAAGGGGTTAGGGAATCAATCAATTAGCTCATGGAAAGAGCTCTAAAGGTGATTTTCAGCTCACTTTATAACATCTCGGTAACATCTCAAGTCGACGAAAAGTTTAGGTTCAATTAAGCAAGGGGATAATGAATCTTTATAATCGTGCATTAAAAGTTTCAGTGGAGAAGCCTACTCAGTCAAGAGTTCTAACAATGAAATGAATAAGTATATGTTGAGTATCAAACTCTAATTGTGGTATAAGATTATGAAAAATATAAGAATTAAGGCCCTAATTTTTTTAATAGTCTACTAGAAAGGGCTGAGAAGTACATAGAGTACGAAGAAAATATAACTGCGAGCAAGGCAATCTACAGAGGATATTTGGAGAAGGTCGAGACAAGAAAAAGGAGAATCGAGGAAACAAAGTATGGTACATGAAAAATAAACAAAAGCAAGAACACTCAACCAGGTCGAAAAAAATGGAATACTGTCATTTAGATTTTAGGATTACACTTCCATGTACACGTCGAGAGAACACATTCTACAAGAATTCATAAACACAAAATTCAAGAAAGAATAAGTGGAACCACTGAAATAGATCCTAGAATGCCCTTGCATCGATAAATATTGTTACTCATTTTCTATAAAGTAGAAACCAAAATATTTAAGAATGCATACAAATGAAGAACACCATTGAACAACACTTGCAAAAATAACAGTTATTGAAAGGAATGAAGAAGTGAAGCTTTATTGCAAGGAAAGTGAAAAAAGAAATTGGGGCACACTATCTAGTTTATAGATAATCAAAGAACATATGTCTACGACCATGAATCGATAAAATGCCAAGAAACATGATCAATGGTCTAATATTAGCCTCATTTCCATAACAAAACTTGAGTATAATCAAATGTTGTAGCGGTGTTGCAAAACCTTTCAGTTACAAGACTAATATTTTATGCACATGTTCCTAATATCACCTTTCTCCCTCAACACACCTTCGACCTCTTCCCCAATGTGAAGGTCTTCCCAAAAACCTCAAAGCAACATAGGAAAGTAATCGAGAGACCAATCTCATTAATTTCATCATAATCGTAGCTCCATGTGCAGTAGTAAGAATTTGGGAGAGATAATTGTTCAGGGCCGCCAAACGACTTAACAAGACCAGCCCAATACGGAAAAGCTTAACCCATATTATTCTCTCTGTGTCAGTTGAACAAGTAGACCCTCACCATGAGGCCACACACTGGAGTCGAGCCACGAGCTCATCTTAAGCCGTCAAATCTCATCCAAAGGTCTCACACATCCAAACTACTCTAAAAGCGTTCCAACTGTCGATCATATATAAGCTCAGTCTCGTGCCACAATAAGTACGATTTTATTCACACTTGTAAATGACATCTCTATAAACTCACTGACTTGGACACTGAAATACTAACATTATAGATACACCGTCATTCCACTCCATCTACTAGAGACTTACACTGTCGTACTAAAGAGCTCAAATGACCACTTTCATCAATGCACCATTAATATTTTTTTACGTACCGGAATAATTATAACTACATAAACCAATATTTTTCGTTAACAAAGTGCGTGAATTAAGCCCAACTATTATTAATAAATTAGTGTGTTTGGATTGATGGCAGGCAAAATTGATTTTGATAGAATTGAGTTTGGTAGAATTGATTTTAACAAAATTGAGTTTAAGATAATTAATTCATGTTTAAATACATTTACGTAAATGTGAGTTGAACAACAAATTTTAATATAAAAATCACGTTTAAATTCAGAAGCTACAAATTCTAACTTTTAGTAGAATCAATTCTAAAAACAAAATATTGCTTTTGAATAACCAAACATCTCAAATCACTCGGGAATCGATTTTGTAAAATTGCTTTTGCATCTTTTGCCAAACATGCTATTAGTGATATTTGTATTGCACATGATGGGTGTGCACGTGCAAAGGCATCGTATATCTCAACACCACTATTGATGAGCATCGAGTGGCTGAAGAAAATTTGAGCAACAAATTCAGAAATGGTTCATCACTACATCATTCTACTCTTCTGCTTATGCTTATGTGCCTCAATTTCAGCCCATCAACATGAACACGACCCTTCAATCATCTCAACCATGGAACAATTTTCCGGTTACTCAATCCACGAACCCACTTCCATCTCTTCACTATCTGTTGACGCCCAGGGTCTGCAGAACCAGGTGGTCAACCATTCACATATTTCTTTTTCTGGCTTCTGATGCTCAATTTTTGACATTTTGAACTCTACCTTGTTCTTAGATTGATCAACTTTCAGGATTTTCCGACGCTCCCGCTCCAGCAGTAACCAGGGTTTTGTATACTCACAAAGATGTTTTAGCCCGAAGGTATTTATGTAATAATGTGTACTATGTTGACTTGAATTAGGAGCAACGTGAGTACAATAAGAGTGTCTTTAGAGTGTGAGATATTTGCCTTTATAAACTTTACTATTGTCTTCAATCTGTAGGTATGTAAAAAAGCTCATGGGGATTGCTGGTCTATCCGTGAGAGAGGATGCTGTTGGTAACATATTTGGTCGTTGGTGAGTGTTTGTTCCTCGAGCTTTCTGTATTTAATAACCATTCCACAAGCTTCTAGTTATCTCTCTCTCTGATAGCTAAATATGATCAGTTCATCGCTGACCAGGACTTCCAATTCATATTAACATGTTAATCTTCCCTCTTTTAGCTACAGGCCTGTAAAATATTGACTAATAGATGGCTATATCTGTGCTTACTTTATATAGGGATGGCAGTGAACCCGAGCTTGCTGCAGTTGCAACAGGTTCGCACATAGATGCTATACCTTATTCGGGAAAATACGACGGAGTTGTTGGTGTTTTGGGGGCTATTGAAGCCATCAATGTCTTGAAAAGGTTTGTGTTTCTTATTATGGCCGATACAGGACTTAATTGAATGTGCAGAATATGATACTGATAGTCGTTTTTTATTGGTTTCTTCGGATTATTAGTGGGCAAGGCTGGAAGTTTTGGCATCTTGAAATTTACTATGGCCTTTCACTGTTCAGTATTAGTCCGTGTAAATGATTTTCAAAGGATGAATTTGTCATATATAGTGTGTTCTTTGGAAAGCCATGTTTTCACGATAACGGCGTACAATTGACGATTTCTACAATTCTCTGCCTTTATGATTCTATGGTGAAACCACAACGGGTCACAAGAAAGGACATACAAACTTGCACAGCACTCAATCATTATCCTCTTCTGTGAATAGCAATGTTTGCAATACTGACTAAAGCCTTTACAGGTCTGGCTTCAAACCTAGAAGATCATTGGAAGTCATATTATTCACATCAGAAGAACCGACGCGCTTCGGAATAAGTTGCTTAGGAAGGTCAGAAACAGCCGTTGTTACTTTGATCTACTAATTTAAACCCCATACTCTACTCTAGGTTTCAACATTTGTTACTTTTGTGCAGTCGCTTATTGGCTGGGAGTGAGAATCTTGTAAATACTCTAAAGACAATAACTGATAGTCAGAATATATCCTTCTTAGATGCTGCAAGGTCTGCTGGATACGCAAAAGATGAAAATGATTTATCGAGTGTGTTTTTAAAGAAGGGAACATATTCTGCTTTTGTAGAACTGCACATAGAACAAGGGCCTATTCTGGAGGATGAAGGTACATATCTCTCGGATAACATAATCTTTGTATTAGCCTAAACTTTAAACGATCATAATATTTCATTTGTTTCTTGATCCAGGCATATCTATAGGCATAGTCACTGCCATTGCAGCTCCAGCAAGTCTAAGGGTTGAATTTGAAGGCAATGGTGGCCATGCAGGTGCCGTCCTCATGCCTAACAGGTGGCTGCTTCCTATCTTAAAATATATATTTTTCAATTTCTTCTGTAGATTGCATCGTTATCCTTTTCGATAGTTGCAGTAACTCGAATTGAAGTAGTGCACTATTGCTTAATTGTGTTATGTTTTCTAGTTCTTTTCATCGATCCCTTTTGAAGTTGAAATTTCTTAACTCACGACCTCTAATGTTCCTAGTATAATTTTTAAATCACATGGAGCAGAAATGATGCTGGTCTTGCAGCCGCTGAATTAGCTCTGGCTGTTGAGAAACATGTCTTGGAATCTGGATCTATTGATACTGTTGGCACTGTTGGTAAGTTCTTATCGCAGGACCTCAATTTGATTAAACAAAAGCACACCCTTCATTTAAAACAACCTCTTATTTTACAAGGTATCCTGGAACTGCATCCTGGAGCAATCAATAGTATCCCTAGCAAATCACACATAGAAATTGGTATGTATTTTTTACAAGAAACTTGAGTCGTACCTGGCATTCATACAAGAGTTGTTTATTCGTTTATTTATTTCAGAGAATTGCTTAGATTTTTCCCTCTCTGCTTATGGGTAATTCCAGTTACTAGTATACATAGTTGGTAACATAGGTATTTACATTGCAATTGTTTTTGTGCTTTTGCAGACACTAGGGACATCGATGAGGAAAGAAGAAACGAAGTTATTGATAAAATCCATGAAACAGCAATTAGAATAACCAAAACACGAGGTGTCAAGCTCTCCGAGTTTCATGTCGTCAATCAGGATCCACCGGCTCCATCTGATAAAGCAGTCATCAATGCAATGGAAACTGCAACAAAAGAGCTAAACTTGACGAGCAAGTTGATGATTAGTCGAGCCTATCACGACTCTTTGTTTATGGCCAGGTATTTGCAAGAAGACATGTTCAAACGGGTTTAATTGTGCTTATATAAACTATCTGCTGCTCATGTATGTTCTGTAATTTCAGGGTGTCTCCAATGGGCATGATTTTCATTCCATGCTACAAAGGTATTTACTGTTCTTTTTGTGCTATATGTACCAATCTGATACCACTTATCCAATTGTTTTTGCAATCAACATTGAAGCCGCATCTTGTAGCACCGAAATTTCAGATTGAAGACGTGTCTGGTGTCAGACACCGACACGAAACACACTCATGTTATTACATTCAATTACTTCTATTTTCTTAAATTATTACGGGTGTGGACCTGTCAGTCTGGTGTCTGGTGTTCTTGTTTCAGTCAGGGCTTCATATTAAGGAAATACTTCTTGTTGTCGTCGCTTTTGCAGGATACAGTCATAAGCCTGAAGAATATTCTAGTATTGAAGACATGTCAAATGGTGTAAAAGTATTGGCTTTCACCTTAGCCAAATTGTCCCTTCAGTAATATAACATCTTATGTAATGACTTGTGTTGACTCTCATTGCAAGACAAGGACATGCAATTTATTTCTGTTACAGCTTAGTAATTAAATAAATTTCAAATTTCAGATACACCCCAACCAGAGTTGGACCATTCTTGTATGGAGGGAAAAGACATCTTACCCTTTGTCAATGATCCACATGTTGCATTCAAAATCTTAACTATTATTATTAAAATAGCCTTTAATGTTTAAGTTAAAAGCCATATTATAACTTATGAAATGGTAAATATGATTATAGAAAAATTGTAAGAGGGTGTTGGGCATTAATCAAGGGGTTATGCAAGAGCAGTCAAGTATATTATAGAGTCTAAGCAATGCTTTAGATGAAGTGTCTTTTCCTTAAATCGCTTTTATACAAAGATATAGACATCGTGCTTTGTGGTCATCCTTAAAACTATCATCGTATTAAATTTTGAGTTTTTTAATTAGCTATATTAGTGAGGTAGTTAAGTGTGCTTAGCTGGATAAGATAATAATACAGCTTACGTAATAAATATGTGTGGATATATTAGTATAATATAATCACAACCGACACTATTAATTTGTACTTTACGTCCAGAATGAGATTATAACCACTCCCAATTATGTTTTGTTTTAAAACTTTTTGAGACACTATCATCTAATTCAATAATCTACATATTTTTGACTACTATTTTTAAATTAAATATACGTTGAAAAAATTAAAGAAGTTTTTGGCAGGAACTTGTTTTGTTAACTTTCTAAATTATTATTATTATTATTATTATTATTATTATTATTATTATTATTATTATTATTATTATTATTATTATTATTATTATTATTATTATTATTATTATTATTATTATTATTGATTGGTTGATTGGTTATTTATTCTCCTAATCCTAACAATAAACTAACCCAATTAGTTGCATTTGAAAAAGATTGATTCCCGAAAGCTTATAACCGGTGGCTCTATAAAAAGCATTTCGATAAAGTATTTTTTTTCAAATAGATGTAGAGGGAAACAAAAGCAAACACTCAAAACATGCAATTAAAATAAATAAATAAAAAGTAAAAATGTACTGAAGTAATATAATTTTTCTTGGGATGGGACATAGATATAGATGATATTTAAGTTGAGTTTTAAAGATTAGTGGTCCACCTTGGACAAATATTTAAATAATTAGAGTATATTTGAGTTTCACAAAACTAAACTGGAGAGATTAAATTTTTTTAAAAGTCGGGCGCAACTATAATAATTAATCTTTTGAGTTAAGAATAATTATAATAAATATGTTGATACGCACAATTATAAAAATGAATCTCTTGAACTGAGAATACACACGATGTACGTCTTTTACATATATTTATAAAGATTACTCTTTTAAATCAAGAAGAAATAGATAATAATATTTTCTCTAATTGAGTTAGAATATAAAGATATTATTTATCATCTATGTAACATTCATATTTATGAAAAAAGACATATATATATCGGTGTAAGTATTGAACAAGTACGTTAATGTTTATGATTACATTTTATTTATTCATTTTAAAAAAAATATTATTAATATAATCGTGTCAGTATCAAAGTCGTGTTCGAAGTGTACGTGAATCAAAATTTTTCATTAATTTTTGTTAATGCTAGATAAGCATTTTGCACAAAAATAAATAAAAAAATAATGAAGGTATGAAAGTGAAAGTGGTGGACAGTAGAATTAGGCAGAAATTCAAATTCAAAAATTGGAAAGGTGGAACTTAACACCGTGACCAAACGGCGTGAGACCGACTAAGCAAATATAAATAAAACCACAACATCAAAACAAAACAAAAACTCCCAAAATTCACAAACTCATAATAACTCAAACAAACTCAGTCACTTCCATTATTTCTCTCCAGATCCAAAACTCCAAATGTAAGTCATTCTCAACTCCCTTTGCATTTTCGTCCACTTTCTTTCTGAGATCTGTTTGTTTCTCTCTCCTTACGATGTTCAATTGTTACTATTATTCTTGTTTGGTTGGATCCGGTTTTAGGATAATGACAATAACGTTCTACATTTCGAATTTTACAATTCACAATTTTTCATTTGTGTCTTGTTTCTTTAAACCAACCACCTAGTTTGTCTAGCCTATGATGCCTTGTTGGGTAATCATATAATTGAGTTGTTAATTTTGAATTATTAGAGTTTTAATCATTCATTCAAGATGCTTGCCAACCAAATTTGATTACTTTCCTTTTATGTGTTTTTGTTTTACTTTGCTTTGGTACATAATGTTAATTGCTTCTATCTTTTTATATTGTTTATTTATATGATGCTAACAACTTCAATACTTTTGGAATTTGTCCTGTTTGTTTCTTACTTTCTTTAAATTATCTTTGGTCCCATAGTTCTACTTTTTTTGTGGTTGAAAATTTCTAGAGAATATTCTTATACCTTCTAGGGTTTATTAAAATAGTTTAATTTGTGGCATGGTTGGTGCAAGAGTGTTTATATATATGTTAGTATGGATATGCTCCAAGAGATGACTCAAAGATTGTACATTCTTATAACAATTCAATTTCTTTTGTTCTGATACTTTCTTTGTTATAGAGTGCAATGGGAATAGAAGATTCAGATATTTGTGTTATCAAGGAGCCGGATCATGTAGTAGTCTATTCCGATGGAGTTTCACATGATTCAGTTCATGAAACCGGAACTGATAATAATGATCACAATATTTCAGAGGCTTATGAGCATATCAATGAGACTACGGAACATCATAGTTCGGGGGAGAGCGCAAAGGAATATGAGGTGAAGGAATGTACAACAGAGGTTTCTGTTAAGGCCTATGATGTAGCTAATGTTAGAAAAAGTGATGATGAGAAGTTAGCCTCGGATTTTGAGAGTGTTCTCAATGCGAAAAACTCGAAACCGCATAAAACAAGGGGTAGTGAGAAGGCACGAGATACTGTGAAGCATGGATCGAGACCTTCTGTTGGGGGCATTCGCGGTAAGTGTAATGGAAGTGCCCAAATCAAAGCTACCGTTCCGCAACCATTTTCCCTAGCAACTGAGAGGCGTGCTACAATTGTGACACGTCCTACTTTTGAAGATAACAAGGGCAGCAACGGAATAAAACCTGTAAATAAAAAGAAAGTGCTAACTTCCAATATGCTCAAACAGAATCAGGTATATACTGATGTTGAATCTGCTTCCTCCTTCATTGTCTAATAGATTGGTGATTTTTTATGGTTAATTTGTTACTTTGCACTCAGAGTTAGTCTTGAAACTTTTATTTTGACTGTTTATTGCCTTGCAGTTGAAGCCTCCTTCAGTCACAAAAAAACCGTTAAAACCTGATAACAAGAAGCTTTCTGATGAGGACGATTCTTGTTCAGTTGCATCTATGTATCCTCTTAAAACTTATATTTGAACGGCATCGAAATATCATCTCATGTTTTTCTTATTCTTGCCATGATTGTTTTTCTTTCTGAAATTGATGTTGCACCTTGACCATGTAAAGAACTGCTGCTTCTGTGCAATCATACAAGTCCAGGGCAACTGTTGCTTCTGCTCCAAGCTTTCGGTCGACTGAGCGCGCACAAAGAAGGAAGGAGGTAAAACTTGTGGATTAATTAGAGCCTCTTTATTTCAGAAGCTTTATGTACCCATTTCCACTGATAAAACAAACATGAAAATTTTCTAAAATGCATGTTCCCTTTTTGTGTGTGCGATAGTTTTATTCAAAATTAGAGGAAAAGCAACAAGCAATGGAAGCTGAGAAGAATCAAAGTGAAGCAAGGAGCAAGGTACAGAAGATTTTCTTCATCTTCTCCAAAACCATGAATTACATTGCCATTTTGTTACTTCTTTTCTGTGTATAAATATAAACTTATATTAGTTTTCTCACTCTAATTTCTTCGATATTTAAGGAAGAGAAAGAGGAAGCCATCAAACAGCTGAGGAGGAGTTTAAAGTTTAAAGCAAGCCCTATGCCAAGTTTTTACCATGAGGGGCCTCCACCTAAGGTTGAATTGAAGAAGGTATGTAATGTTCTTGTACTTATACGTAGATTCTGTTTAGATAACAACTTAGTTAAGTGTTGTTTTCATAAATTCTCCCAAACAGTCTCACAAGTGTTTATGTCAATAAACACTAAAATAGGTCAATCCTAACATTATCATCTACGAGGTTCAATCTTTGCAACAAAGTCAATATTGTAGTTCATGTTAATCTCTCAACAAATTTAATCAGAAGTCACATAAGAACAACACATAATCATCAAATTATATATATGTATAGACATATTCTTCGACATTGCGTTCATGACTAATGACAAAAGTTAACATGTATGGGCCAGCTACCACCGACACGTGCAAAATCTCCAAAGCTGGGCCGGCGAAAGAGCAACAGTGGTGCAAATAATTCATTTGAAGGGGTCAAGGAGAAAGGTGTTGTTGCTCAGAGAAAGCATCGCACGTCGAATGCTAACATCGGTAACTTGAGTAATGTGAACAATGACAGTGGAGTGGATGGTCTTGAGAATGCGATTGATCATGCCGAACTGATAGAAGAAATTAATACGATCAAAGTGAGTGGACAGGCAGATAAGGAGATCAGCAGCCAGTCAAGTTTTCAATGAGATTAGAGTTTTTTCACTTCTAATTTAAGTGTTTCTGGGGAATGGAGTATTGTTTCTTGCAACTTTCTGAAGGGTGTTTGTTGACTTTATTTCCTTTTAACTTATAAGCACTTGTTTCTGTGTGCAGTGTTTGTCAAGTGAAAATGTTTATTTGTAATTTATCTCAATTTATTTTGTAAAAATGAAAATCCTATTGCTCACAGGAGCTATTTAAGCATCGTCTGTCTGAATGAACTTCAGGGTCACACTGTTTGAAGTTATTGGAAAATGATGCTGTTCAAACAGCAATAATCCTCCAACAAAGGTTCGTCATTCCTAACCAGATATAAAAACCTAACTACACTGGAAGGAGAGAGCATTCTAACTCATAATAAGAAA